TGGTCCATGTGGCAGACGCACAGGTAGGTCCCGCCATGCTCCACGCAGTAGCCGCCGTCCGGGCACTGTGTGTTCATGTTACAGGGCGTGGCTGTCACTTCTGCAGAGAGGAGAGGGGCTCATCCCACACCGCACGTCTTCCTGACCGGTGTCTGCCGAGTGGAGGGGCTGCCCAAGTCCAGTGTCTTCAGGGCACAGGCTCCGGCATGGCCAGACCTGGGCCAGGGCAGGTCTGGACTGTGGCTCCCAGCGCTGGCCCAGGCCACCACGCAGCCCGGCCACAGGTGCTCGGTGACAGATGGGAGGCTGCCCCGCCCCAGCCCTGGGCACCTACCGAGTTCACAGAGGGGCCCGAAGAAGCCCAGGGGGCACTGGCAGAGGGTGGAGTTGGTGCCCAGACACCTGCCCCCGTTGTGGCATTCACAGCTGTCGGCGACCCCTGCCACGGACAGAGGGTGAGGCCCGGGTCCCGCCCTCCCCCAGACACGCTCCCCCTGGTCCTGGACCCCTGCGTGCACAGCCCACGGAGGATCCCCCGAGCCTGCTCCCGCCCCGGGACCCACCGCAGCCCTACGTACTCTCTGTGCAGTCTAGGCCCATGAAGCCTTCCGGGCACTCGCACACGAAGCCCTGCTCAGCGTCCACACAGGTGCCTCCATTCTGGCAAGGGGCCGAGTGGCAGGCGTCGGGCACTGAGTGCGAGAAAGGCTGTGGTCCCCGGCAGCCACAAGAGAGCGTGGCTGTAACTGCCGCCCTCGGGGCCGCGGGGCCTCCCAGCTGGTCTGGGTCTGGCGTCTATACTGATGGGCCGCTGCCCCGCCTCCCAGAGCCCACCTCCCACTCCTTCCTCAGAACAGAGTAAGATGCACCGAGGCCCCACGCGAGCTGGGGCTCCACGCTTCTGATGAAGCATCTTTAGTAAAAGTACTTGAGACTGGGGCCAGCTGGCGGCACAGTGGGTAAGGTGCTGGACTCCCACGTGGTTGGCTGCAGTTCAAGTCCCAGACCCAGTGGCTTAAACCTCACACCAAGCGCATGTGCGTGCGTGCCCAAAATTCTGAGCAGAGTGGAGAAGGAATTGCAGCGGGGCCATCCCCTGGGGGTGCTTCTCATTTTCTGCTTCTCTGTCTCTCCAGTGAGTGCATGTGCCCTATAGCAAACAAAATCTCTAAAAATCCCCCCAAACTTGGTATTTCCCAGGTATCTTTCTGTAGTTGATTTTGTCTGGCTTCACTGTGGTAAAAAATAACAATCCTTTTCACTTTACGGAGCCTTATCAACGGCCCACAGCACAGCCGTCACGGGGGTGCGCCATGGAGCCTGAAACAGGCAGGTGGTCTACACACGTCAGGCAGGCCAGGCCCGTGTTCACGCCGACGCCCGCCATGAGCTGTGCGTGCCGAGGTCGGCACTGATGTCACCGATGTCCCCACGCTGACCGTGACCTGGCACGGAGGACGTCACGCAGGATGGCGACCCCACAGTGACCGTGACCTGGCATGGAGGACGTCATGCAGGACGGCGACCCCACCAGCTGCTGTGGGCACCGTGGCACCACGGGCCGCCCCGGAGGCAGCCAAGGCCACTCCTTAGCCCTGTCCTGCCCGGGCTCCTGCTCCCAGGCCAAACCCCACTCTCCTGAGTCACGTGAGCACTCAGAGCGGCGTGGCCATGACGGAGTGGCCGAAGGCCTGGTGTCCTGACGGCGCGTTCTCACCAAGTGCTGCATGCTGCGGCCTGTGTAGGAGGACTGAGAGGCCTGGGACTTTTGTCCTGTACCCCCCATCGTCCAGGTGGAAAACAGGCCCAGGAAGGGGAAGTGACGGCTGACCTCGCACAGCGGCTGGCCGGTTGTGTGCACCCCTCCCCCTGCAGTCTGCCGCCGGGAAGGCAGGCTGAGCTGGGTGGGCAGGCCGTGGGCTGCCGTGGAGGCCGCTCACCTGTCTCACAGCGAGGTCCCTCGAAGGGTTCGGCACACACGCAGGTGTAGTTGCCCACGAGGTCCACACAGGACCCACCGTTCAGGCACGGGTCCGAGCTGCACTCGTCCACGTCTGGGGTAACAGGTGCATGGCTGGCCAGGGCTCGTCCACCCAGAGGACCGCACCCCTTCCCCACTGCCCACCGCTATACCCCCTGCCCCTGGCAGGCACTTCCTGACCTGGTGGCAGCGCCATGTGCCCGGCCTGGCCCACACCAGGGCTGTGCCCCACCTGGCAGGGGCTGCCATTTCCAGTGTAGGGAGTTCCGGAGGGCCTGACGGTCGGAGCCGGAGCATGAGGGGCTGAGCCACAGGCATGGGTGCTGGCTGCAGGGGGCCGAGCTGGGGGCGCCCCTCCTGCCGGATGCCGGTACCCCTGAGCTGGGCACCCGGCTCCCTCCTCTGTCCCTGCAGACAGCTGCACAGGGGGAGGCCACCCTGCCCCGCTTCTGTCTTGCTGACGGCTCCTTCTAAAGCCCTTGACTTGGGAGCCACACCTGTCTCCAATGCTCGTGGCCCTCTCTGAAGCTGTAGCGACAGTGGGCACTTGTTCCTTGGCACAGGAAGGAGGCGGAAGGGACTGCCCCCCAGGAGGTGTGGACACACTGTGCTGGCAGACAACACAGCGTGTCTGGCCCCCCCGGCCCTTCCAGAGTGAGCACATGGCAGAGCTGCACCCCTATACCTTGGACACGGCTAGGGCTCCCTGGGGCTTGTACCTGGACTGGGGTCTCAGCCACACACGCAGCAGAGCACGGCAGAGCCGGGACTCGAAACCGCCCCAGCTCCCGACCCCATGCCCTCTGAGGGGCTCTGCATCTGCACGTCTGGCCCCCTGCTCGGGGCTGCTCCTCACAGGCCCGGGGTCCTCAGCAGCCAGGCCCTGATGACACCATGCGGGGTGTGCTGGCTGAGGGGGGAGACCCCACGAGCCCCCGGCTCTCTTGGCGGATGGGGGCGGGTGGGCGGCAGCTGCCTTGGCACGGACCACAGGAGTGGGTTCCTGGACAGGAAGAGGCTCCTTGTGTTTGCCTCCCTCTGGCTGTGGGGCGGCGGGCAGCCCGGGCCTGGGAGCAAGTCCCCAGGGCCTCGCTAGCGCCTGTGCTGTGACCACCACCCTCCGGGGGGACTCTGCACCTCAAAGACACGCTTCCACCCAGCCCCTGTGGAACCATTGACCAACGCAGCTTGTGTGGGCACCCGGCGGGTCACCCAGCTGTCCTCTCTGAAATGCGCATGTGCCCGGGCTCACTGGGCAGCTTCCTGAGGCTGTGACTCCCCGGCAGAGACGCTGGTCCACACTGTGGCACCCACACAGCCGCCAGAACGCGCTGGTCTGAACACGGTAAGCACTCCCGCCACTGACAGGCCAGGGTGTCAGCCCGCCCACAGGGCCTTCGGTGCTTCCACGTGAAGGGGTCCTCTTGGCCAGCCCCCGAGCAGCACCCCATGTTGAGATTGGAGGCAGAATGGGGGTCCGCTGCCCTCCGCCAGCTGGGCGAAGGGTAAGGGCGAGGGGCCCGGGAGGTGCTGGGCGATAGGAAGGGTAAGTGGGCCGGGCCTGCGCAGCTGTTTCGGGAGAGCCGGGCTCTGTGGGGAGGGCAGGCGTGTCCAGGAGCAGCAGGGCCGGAGGAGGGCCCGAGCCAATAGCCTCAGAGCACAGACTGGGGGTGTGCGGGTGAGGGCGTGGGGTGTCTGTGCTCCATGGGCACCTACCTGTGTCCCCGCCCTCAGCACCCCTGACTGCAGACACCCCGTGTTCCTGTCAAGCTGGCAGCCACGTCCTGGCGGGCTCCCACCAGACTCTGCTGTGCCCAGCCCTGCCCAGCCTTCCCAGCACCAGGCACGGTCACTCGAGGCCTTCTCCCTGGTCTGACACCAGAGCCCAGAACCCCATCCGCTGCAGCCCGTCCAGCTGTGCCCATGAGACATGGCCTTCCTCTGGCACCCAAGCACCCTGCACCCTCAGCTGCCGAACGGCCTCTGATTGCCCCGTCTGGGCCAGGCCCCCCTGTGGCGTGCACAGCTGATGGCTGGGCCGGGCATCACCCTGCCCAGCTCTAGGCCCGGCTGTCCTGGACTAGTAGGCACAGGGCCTGGGCAGCTCCTCCTACCTGTCTCACAGGTGGGTCCGCCGAAGCCGGCCGGGCACTGGCAGGTGTTGATGCCGTGGGTGCAGGTCCCACCATTCTGACACGGGTCGGAGGCACACTCGTTCACGTCTGAAACGGCCAGGCTGGGCTCAGTGGGAACACAGGGTGGGAGGACTCGCTGGGGTCAAGCCAAGCCAAGTGAGGCAGTGAGCCACCCGACGGGCTCCGGCCCCTGGTGCAGCCCCTGCCCCTGCACACTGCAGAGCCACAGCGTCGGCTCCAGCTGCCTCCTGACAATGGGACGGTCCCCTGGCCTCGGCCCTCCCGCCACCAGCTGGGCCTGCAGGATTCTTGAGCCCAGCACAGGCAGAGGGCACATTGCCCCGCACAGCTACTCACCCAGGTGGCACCTGCGCCCAGTGAAGCCCGCGAGGCAGGAGCAGGTGTAGGAGGGGTTGCCTGTCACGCAGTCGTCCACACACTCGGCACCGTTGAGGCACGGACGCAGGGTCAGGCAGATGGAGGCTGTGGACACAGGGGGGCAGGGGCTGCGTGCTGCCGTTGCTAGGGCCCCAGCAGGAGAGCATCGCAGCCACGGCTCCCTCCCTGCCTCCAGGACACTAACGGAAGGGCCAGGGCTGTGCACGAAGCCCCCCGTGCCGTGCCGGATTCCTGCTCTTTCCAGAGCGTAGACTCTGGCCTCTCATGGAGACAGACTTCCCCAAGCCACGCCCACCCACAGCACCTTCCCCGCCCTGCACAGCGCTCAGCTGCCCCTCCTGGGGTCCTCCTGTGTACAGCCACGGCATTGTTTCCCAGGCGTGGCCCACCACCCACAGGCAGCCTCTCCCACACCCAGACCCACGAGGATAGCAGTTCAGAGTTTGGCTGCAGGGGCACTAACCCCAGAGAAGCACGGCTTCCCATGCAGCCAGTGACCGCCAGGAGCAGACGGGCATCGAAGGATCGGGCTGTTACCAGGAGGCCTGGAGACTCCTGGGATCGGCCCAGCACCCGAGGGGCGATGTCTCTGGGGACTGCCTCTCCTCACTCTGCCTTTCGGTGGGCTTTGCTATCCGAGGTCTGGCACCTGCCAGCTGCAGTAGCCACGGGCCGGGGAGCCTGTGCTCCAAGATAGGAACTGCACACATGCACCCAGACACCATCTAGGGCCTCAGCCACACCCAGCTGCCAGGCCGTCTCTAAGCCAGGGTCGGCAGAGGCCTGTGCATGTTAGTTGGGAGACCCAGTGCTGCCACCTCCATGTCCCTTTCAGAGCCCAGGTGCCATGGGGAGATCCCTCCTCAATGGGACGGGGTTATAGAGGCCCTGGCTGGACCCACTTGAGGGACACACCCTGTGGCCCCCACACCAGCAGGAGACCTGACCTCACCGTCACACCCCCACAAACAGCTGACAGCAGATCCCGCCCAGAGCCCGGCTGGGCAGAGCCGGTGCCCAGGAGAGACCCAGAACTACACCCTGCCTGTGTGTGTGCACACCTGCCCCAGTGCCGTGTGTGTGCATATCTGCCCTGCCTGTGTGCGTGCACATCTGCCCCAGTGCTGTGTGTGTCCCCAGTGCTCTGTGTATGTGTGCACACCGGCCCCGGTGCTCTGTGTGTGTGCACACCTGCCCTCCCTGTGTGCATGCACACCTGCCCTGGTGCCATGTGTGTGCACACCTGCCCCAGTACCATGTGTGCATAACTGCACCCTGCTTGTGTGTGCATGCACGCCTGTCCTGGTGCCATGTGTGCACACCTACCCCTGTGTATATGTTGGCACACCTGTGCCAGTGCCATGTGTGTGCACACCTGTGCTCTGCCTGTATGTGTGCACTCCTGCCCCAGGCCATGTGTGTGTACATCTGCCTGTGTATGTGTGCACACCTGCCCCAGTGCTGTGTATGTGCACACCTACCACAGGCCGTGTATGTGTACACCTGCCCCTGTGCATATGTGTGCACACCTGTCCCTGTGCACATGTGTGCACACCTGCCCCTGTGCGTATATGTGCATACCTACTCCAGGCCATATGTGTGCTCATCTGCCTCTGTGCATGTGTGCACACCTGCCCCTGTGTATATGCGCACACCTGTTCCAGGTTGTGTGTGTGCACACCTGCCCCTGTGCATATGTTTGCATACCTACTCTAGGCCGTATGTGTGCTCACCTGCCTCTGTGCATGTGTGCACACCTGCCCCTGTGTATATGCGCACACCTGTTCCAGGTTGTGTGTGTGCACACCTGCCCCTGTGCATATGTTTGCATACCTACTCTAGGCCGTATGTGTGCTCACCTGCCTCTGTGCATGTGTGCACACCTGCCCCTGTGTATATGCGCACACCTGTTCCAGGTTGTGTGTGTGCACACCTGCCCCTGTGCATATGTTTGCATACCTACTCTAGGCCGTATGTGTGCTCACCTGCCTCTGTGCATGTGTGCACACCTGCCCCTGTGTATATGCGCACACCTGTTCCAGGTTGTGTGTGTGCACACCTGCCCCTGTGCATATGTTTGCATACCTACTCTAGGCCGTATGTGTGCTCACCTGCCTCTGTGCATGTGTGCACACCTGCCCCTGTGTATATGCGCACACCTGTTCCAGGTTGTGTGTGTGCACACCTGCCCCTGTGCATATGTTTGCATACCTACTCTAGGCCGTATGTGTGCTCACCTGCCTCTGTGCATGTGTGCACACCTGCCCCTGTGTATATGCGCACACCTGTTCCAGGTTGTGTGTGTGCACACCTGCCCCTGTGCATATGTTTGCATACCTACTCTAGGCCGTATGTGTGCTCACCTGCCTCTGTGCATGTGTGCACACCTGCCCCTGTGCATATGTGTACACACCTGCGCTTGCCCGTGTGTGTGTGTGCACTCCTGCCCCTGCCCCTACGCGTCTGTGTCTCTGGGCTGCCATGGCCAGTGCCTGCCCATGCTCCATTTGTTCTCAGGGACTTGGTTTTGGGAGAAGCAGCCCCTCAGTGGCCTGGGTGCCCGTGGAGCGGGACCCAGCTGAGCCTGGCTGAGGCCCGGAAGGCAGGGTTTGTGGTGAGCAGCTCTGGGCAGAGCACTGGCTGCCCTCGTGGCACCCACCCCTGGTTTACACGGGACTGTTTCAGAGGGCCCCATGACCCCTGCAGGCCTTGTAGTGCCTGGGCCTCTGAGATGGACACCCACTCCCTCTGCTTGTGTCCTGACCCGGAAGGGCCTTGGAACTCCCCCAAACCCACCAGCAGCAAGCCACAGGCAGGGCCTAGGATCCTTCTGTCCCCAGGACTGGTTCTCCTCTGGGGACAGAAGCACCCCATAGCCTCTCAGAGAGGTGACCCCTGCTCTTCCTTCCCCAGGACGCAAAACCGTCTCCAGCAGACCCCTGGCCCGGCCCAGAGCAGAGGCTCGAAGGCCTCCTCGGGGGATGCTGAGGCCCAGGGGCCGGTAGGGCTCACTCGGGCTCACCACCTCCAGCTCACACAGCAGTGGCCTGTCCCGTCACACCCGCCCTCTCCCTCCCTGGCCCGCCCCGAGCCGTGCCCCGCCCTCTTACTTGTATGGCCGCAGCCCCCCACGCGCACCTGGGCATCATCGACTCGGAACGCCCAGCGCCCCGGCACGCCCACGTTGGTGGTGGTCTCCACCTCGGCCATGCCTGCTGTGCGCGACCCGGGGATGCTGAAGTAGCGCTGACCGTCCCCTGCGTTGAAGCCGGCCTGGGAGCAGAGGGCAGGTGCAGGCTGGGCTGCCGGTCTCCTTAACATTCCTGAACCCTCCCCCTGGGTGCCCCGGTGGAGGACGTGTGCCAGACGGCCCTAAGCTGCAGATTTGAGTGTCCTGGCCCCTCCACGGCCCAGTCAAATTGGCCATTGCCCACTTCGGTCCTGACTTTGACCAACACTCCTCAGAGCCCAGGGGGTGTTGGCCCTGGCAGGCGTTTACCCCAGCTCTGGCCCCCCTGGGGCCCAGGGACAAGTGGGAGGCCAGGACACTGGGAGAGGTGCTTGGGCCTGGTGTGCACTGGGCCCGAGAGCACCGCCTGCTGGCCCCTGGCCAGGCTGGCCTCCAGGCAGGCAGTGTGCAATTCTGCTCCTGCAGCTGCTGCTGGCCTCATGGGATCAGGCCAGCCCGGGCCGGGGGCCAAAGGGGCCTTCGGGCCCAAGGTGTTCTGTGGTTCTGGGTGGGGACAGGCCTCACTCTGGCCTCTGCATCATGCTAGGGACAGGGTGGTCTGCCAACAGTGAGACCTGCTGCTCCACCAGCACTGACGTTCCTGGCAGCAAGGGGCAGAGGCCTGGACACCGACTCCTCCTGGACCTACCTGGGCTGCAATGCCTCCCAGGCCAGCAGCATCGCCCCCACTGCTGGCGTGAGTGCCCGTGGTCCACGTGATGGACTCATAGTTGAAGATGGTGAAGGAGAGCTTGCCGTCAGTGACCAGCACCGTCTGGAACGTGTTCACCTGCCAAGGAGAAGCGCTGAGAAGGTCCCTGCGGCCCCGCCTGTCCCCCATGTTTTCTGTCCATGGAGCCCGTGACAGTCAGACAGTCAGCAAGGCAGGGCCTCGACGCCCTGTCCTCCTCGGCCTCCTCCTGCTGCGCCCTGGCCCGGGTCATTGCATGGGTGAGCAAGGGACGTACGCGCACACATCCGAGTACGGGCCCCTGTCCTCAAGGGGCTCCGCGTCTGGTTGTGGCCAGGGTGGAGGGACACAGGGGTCCACACACGTGACGGAACCCACACAACATGCAATCTTCTCTGTGAAGAACGAACGTGTAAAAAGCAGAGGGGAAAGATGAACAGGAGTCGAGCAAAGGCACATCCATGGCTTCACGGGATTCTGCTCCATGAACATATGGATGGGCAGTGCACGGTATGACGTGGGGCTGTTTCAGAACGACCTCGGGGGCCAGCAGGGCAGGGGGGCTGGGGCACTGGACTCATGTGGCCGACCGCAGTGTAAGCCTCAGACATGGCAGCGTGAAAAATCACACTAGGCATATGTGCGTGCATGCCCCAAATCTCGGGTAGACAATGGAGGAGAAGGGACTAGCATGGCCACCCCTGGGAGGCTGGTTTGTCACTTTCCCTCTCTCTCCTCTCTGTCTCTTTGGCAAGTGCACACTCCTATTGCAAAAACCTAAAAAGGGGGAGGGCAGAGGCACCATGGTGGTTAAGACACTGGACTTCCACATGGCCAACTTTCTGGTTCAAGTCCTGGGCCCGGACACCGGGCACGCGCGCATGCACTTAAAATCCTGGCGGATGGAGAAGGGGCTGAGTGTGGCTATCCCCCGGGGTGAGGCCTCACTTTCCCTCGACTCAGAGCACACAGTTACATAGCACGTGAGATAACCCAGATGGAGTGGGATTGAAAAGTGACCACAAGGCCGGGCATGGGCAGCGGTCGAATGCTCGTCTGTGAAGCAGTCCCACATGGGGCGTCCCTGGCTGACGTCCTGACCTCCCTGAGTGTATGGGTACCTGCCCGCCTGTGGCGCAGGGCTGGCTGGGGCTGGGCGTGGAGTGCATCTTGGAGACCCTCTCGGGTTCTCTCTCTCTCTGTCTCTTATTCATGGAAGAAATGAGTAAGCTTTAAGAAATCAAGCCGTGAAAGTCCT